AGAGATGCGCTCGCTTGCATTTTAGCGAGAATTCGAAACGTCAGACCAATAAACTTCTTGGTCCAACAATCACTTCTTCTGAACTGCTTCCTGGAACTCGCCTTTTCGCTTCTATCGGAAATCTTTTATGGCTCCACGCATTCTGATCGACCTAACGCAGGGCAAGCATTCACCGTTCACGGTTTACATCCCTATTTAAGCACTTTTCTCTTAAATTTATAAAATACCTGTCAGTGTTTTGTACGTTCCAATCTCTACTGTATTTGTTGTTGGTTAGTAGTATCTTGTAAAGTTACAAAGGAGGATGGTGTTGGTAGAAATCTGATGGATGCACATAATCATCACCCCTTGGATACTTAAAAGTACGTCAATAAGATGCTTGAAAAGTCAGTCTCTGGCAAACATGTTTTCAGCAACTCTTCATCAGGCCAAACATTTGCAGGGAAAACGAAAGCTGTACAAAACAATTAAAGTCTTCTCAAAGTATAAAACTCACACTGTTGGCCTAGTAGCAAATGAGTTATTACAAGTGGCCGGAAGCAAGTGCATCGAGTATTTAGGATCATGCTGTATAATAACCGGTGTTGCAGCCCCTACGTGATCATTTCCGACTGCCTGCGCATATCCTTATTCCCAGTTGTAAGAAATCGTTCAGGCGCGTCAAGCTTCTCCCGCCCGTATGGGCACTCAACTTCAACAGACAGACCGATTGCGTGTGGTTATACTACTCGCCATAAGTGAATAGTCTTTTATGTTTACTTTTTTGGACGCGTGCTTTCTCTTCTTCTGCAATTATGTAAACAGTCGATTCTTGAATTGCCCCCATACATCGATGCTTCTTCTTAGCTACTTTGTAACAAATAGGGAGTTTTAAAAATGTTCATCCACCTTTCTCTTAATGAAATTCAGCTGAAGTGCAGTCTTAGTTCAAAAGTTATTGGTTATTGTTTCATGAGTTTATGTTAAAATTTTGAAAAGGAAAGATAAAAAAACTGCAAACGAAATGTCAAAATAACCGTGGACATAGACTAACTGTATCAGGCGTTAGCAGCACCGGAAGACAAATGTACATACGTAGGCGCGACGTACCGTAATCACTTTAAGCATATGTATGCTACAAGGAATTGAATACAATACGCGCGACTTTTCACCCAGTCGCCGTATAACGCAATTTTTGTCCTGACAGATGGGGGCATTCGTGGTCCAGGAAATGTTTTGTAGCTGTAAGGTACAGTAAGTAGCAATGCCAATTCGGCAAAAGTCGCTTATGTAGCCCCACTAATATATCCCTACTCACAGCATTTTCTCCTAAAAAACGGTGGCAATAGAGTTTTGTGTGGTGGAAAAATAGGATAGGCAGTGAAGCAAATTTTTAAAAGTAAGTGTAAAATGAAAAAATGTAGTCGAAGTTTCTTCCCGCGGCTGCTGAAAGCAGGTTGTTCTGCATGTAAATTGAAGGTGTGCGCGGCGCTTCGCGCCGC